TACTCCAATGTCTTTCCTCAGTGTTTTTCCAGGAGCAGTTTTATAGTTTGAGGTCTTAGATTTAGATCTTTGATCCACCTTGAGTTGATTTTTGTCAGAGGTGAGAGGTAAGGGTTCAGATTCATCTTTTTGCAAGTGAAAATCCAGTTTTTCCAGCACCATTTGTTGAAGAGGTTTTCCTTTTCCCACTGGATTGACTGGTACCCCTTGTCAAGAATCAGTTGACTGTATGTTTGGGAATTTATTTCTGGGGACTCTATTCTGTTCCATTGATCCAGCTGTCTGTTTCTGTGCCAGTACCATGCTGTTTTGATTACCACAACTTTGTAGTATACTTTTGGGGAGTGAGACCCTGCCCACTCCATTCTTGTGCAGAATTGCTTTGGCAATACGGGGTCTTTTATGATTCCAGACAAACGTTATGATTGTCTTTCCAAGATCTGTGAAGAATGTGTCTGGTACTTTGATTGGCATTGTATTAAATATGTAGATTAATTTGGGTAGATTTGCCATTTTGATTATATTAATTCGTCCAATCCAGGAACATGGGATATGCTTCCACTTTTTTGTGTCATTTTCTATTTCTTTTTTAATCTTCTTGTAGTTTTTTTTTGTGGAAGTCTTTAACTTCTTTAGTTAGATTTATTCCTAGGTATCTTATACTTTTTGTGGCTATGGTAAATGGAATAACTTTTTTCTATTTTATCTGTCTGCCTGTTGTTCGTATATAGAAATGCTATAAATTTCTGGATATTAATTTTGTATCCTGCAACTTTACTGTATTCATGTATTACTTCCAGGAATTTTCTCATAGAAACCATTGGGTCTTCCATATATATAATCTTCTCATCTGCAAATAGAGTTTCACCTCTTCTTTTCCTGTTTGAATGCCTTTTACATTTTCCTCTCTTCTGATTGCGTTGGCGAGGACTTCCAGTACTATATTGAAAAGGAGTGGAGAAAGTGGGTATCCTTGTCTTGTACCCATTTTTAGTGGAAAAGCTTACAGCTTTTCTCCATTGAGGATAATGTTCGCTCTGAGTTTTTCATAGATAGCTTTAATTGTGTTGAGAAATAACCTTTCCATGCTGATTTTGCTGAGTCTTGATCATGAAGAGATGTTGTATCTGTTTTAAGGATAAGGGTGATAGAGGCTTCATAGAATGAATTAGGGAGAGATTCACCCTTTTGGATCTTTAGAAATAACTTGAGCAGAATGGGGGTTAACTCTTCTTTGAAAGTTTTGTATAATTCAGAGGTGAATCCATCAGGGCCAGGGCTTTTCTTTGTTGGGAGGTTATTTATTACTGATTCAATCTCCTGGCTTGTTATGGACCTATTCAGACTTTCTATATCCTCCTGACTCAGTCTTGGTAGATTGTATGTGCCCAGGAATTTGTCCATCTCATCTAGATTGTCTTGTTTCTTGGCCTACAGATGTTCATAGTATCCTCTAATATTTTATATTTCTACTATGTCTGTTGTTATTTTGCCTGCTTCATTGCAGATCTGATTCACCTGGTTCTTTTCTTAATAAGTCTCGCTAGTGGTGTATCAAGTTTGTTTATCTTTTCAGAGAACCAGCTTTTACTTTCATTTATTTTCAGTATAGTTCATTTTCTATTTCATTGATTTCTGATCGTATCTTTATTATTTCCTTTCTCCTGGAGTTTTTTTGATCTTGCTGTTGCTTTTCCAATTCTCTGAGGCACGAGGTTAGGTGATCCATTTGCCTCTTTCCATCTTCCTCTTATGTGCACTAATTGCTATGAATTTCCCTCTTATGACTGCTTTAGCAGTGTCCCAAAGATTATGGAAACTTGTGTTCTCGTCATTAGCTTCCATGAATGTTTTGATTTCTGTCTTTATTTCTTCAGTAGTTGTGGAGTCATTCAGGTGTAGGTTATTTAATTTCAATTTATTTGATTTTAAGTTACATAACCTTGAATTCCAATTAATCCATCTGTGAAATGGGGACAGTAATGTACAGTGTTCAAAATCGTGAAGTTTAAAGACATTTGATTCACTGGTAAATTGTAAATCACTCATCTCTGCAGTAATACAAAATTATATCAAGTTCTGTCAACACATTGTATTTGTCCTAAAGGATATAAAGGTGAACAGGGAAGGATTCCTGTGATACTAACACTGTTCCCCAATTCTGCCCTCCACCCCAGTGTTGTCCTGGAAATTCTTACCTAAACAACAAAGGGCATTAAGTCTTAACTACCAAAAATAATTAAGCTACACTGATTTGCAGATAAATTATTACTTGGAAACTTTTAGAAAAGCTAATAACTGGGGCCAGCAGGTGG